CTAGAGCTAAATAGCCCCTCTTACCCGACAAAGCCCAGACCAGGGGGGAAGAATGGCCTTCTTCAAGCGAAGAGCAAAGCCGAGCAGGTGTGGCTGCACCTCGCTGCTCCTCCCACCTGCTGTCCACGTGGCCTAGGAGTAGGAAGTCACGACTACAGGGCCTGAATCTATACCGGAACCCAAGTCATGGGACTTTGAATCCTGAGTCTTTTTCATCCAACATGGAGGATGTACTGTAAAACAGTTGATGTACTAAGAAAGGGCCTAGGCCGGGCGCGGTGGCTCACGCCTGTAATCCCAGCACTTTGGGAGGCCGAGGCGGGCGGATCACGAGGTCAGGAGATCGAGACCATCCTGGCTAACACGGTGAAACCCCGTCTCTACTAAAAATGCAAAAAATTAGCCGGGCGAGGCGGCGGGCGCCTATAGTCCCAGCTACTTGGGAGGCTGAGGCAGGAGAATGGCGTGAACCCGGGAGGCGGAGCTTGCAGTGAGCCGAGATCGCGCCATTGCACTCCAGCCTGGGCGACTAAGCGAGACTCTGTCTCAAAAAAAAAAAAAAAAAAAAAAAAAAAAAAAAAAAAAAAAAAGAAAGGGCCTAGAAGTGAGGACAGGGATGTCTCAAAGTCTCCACTGAGAACTTTGCAGTGGAGCATTTGCAGTGGCCACTGGGTTCTGGCCCTCCGGAGTTCGGTGTATCAAGTGGAGCCTGGTGACGTGGTGCAAGAGGAGGACCGGGTGCCAAGTAGCCTTGGGTCCCTTGTTAGCTTCGAGGGCCAGGGTGTGTCTTTACACTCCCTCTCTAGGTTACTTTGAGACTTAAGTAAAACCACTGGAAAAGCATTTAATACAATTAAAACACGATTCGGTTAAATACAGTTTAAAGTAAAGTTCAGATTTAGATTGGAGATGTAAAGCTGTGTGGACAATAGGGTCATAAATAGGTTGCAATTTGGGGATCACACTGTGATCTTTGACTTGCATGTTCTTTTAGAGCTGAGATTCAGCTCTTCCAGCCTGAAAACTGGTACAGCCAAAGCACAGGTGGTCGTTCGCCTCTTTACCATCTCTGGGAGAAACACCAAGAAACCTAAGTTAAGCAGAGAGTTCGTCATCTTAACCTTTTCGTTACCTGGGATACAGCTGGAACTCATTTTTGCTCGGATGCTTAGTGTTGGGAACCTCTCACGTGTGGGGCTCGTGGCTCAGTCTGCGGCTCTTGCTCCTCGTGTCTTGCACCCATGTTCCATGTCCGAGTGAATGTGGGTGGTAGAGGACAAGCAAGTCACCCAGCTCCCGGATAGACTCAATGTGTGCCCAGTGGAAAGCAGTTTGTTGTGTTTGCATTTGTGTCAGAGCTTTTATTTAAAGCAACAGTTTTCCTTTCCTATGGATTACTTCTTTTGTCTCAAAGTGGATAAAAATGCAAAACAACTGCTAGTTGAAGCTTTGGGTTTGTGTGAGTGAAGTCGGTGTTCAGATTCAATAGCATGGTCCACATTCTGAGAGAGTTACTTTACAGTTAGCTCATTGGTGGACTTATAAAGTCATGGTCCAAAAATGATCTAGGTGACAGACACCTATTTTTTCCTGAAGGAAATCCATAAGCTATTGAGATCAGTAGGCATCTTCTGCAAAAGCATTAAAGAAAATACAACTTTTTTTGCTACTGATCCCTGTTACTTTTGTCCCTACTACTGGGCCTCCGTTTTTGAGTAGGTGGGGTTCTGCACAGTGTGTAAATCGAATGCGTAGAATCATTACCATATGTTTCCAATATTACAGTTGTATAGATGCATTCCCTTATTCCTCTAAGCTAGACACTGTTCAGCAGACACTTATTGAACACCCAATATGTGCCAGGCCCTGTGCTATATTCTAGGAAGACAAAAATCGGTTAGTCCTGGCCCCTCTTTTCAAAAAGTTCACAGTCTAAAGAGAAGACAAAAACAAGATCAAAATATGAAAATGTTGTGACATACCTAATGGAACTCACAGATGCTAGGCAGAAAAGTAACACTGAAGAGAGAACATTTTAAATAAGCCCACGGGTGGTTTTGCAGTGGAAATGATGTTGAAACAGGTTTTAAAGCATAAGCAAGAGCTCTCTGCACACACATGGGTGGTGGAGCCAAGGCTGTCAGCCAGGCTTTTCAAACCTGAAACCAGACAACTCACGGTCGTGTCTTGAGGAGTCCAGGAAGTACTTACATAGATTCAGAGCCCTGAGAGTGCTTCTAGTCAGGGTTTACCAGCTGGGCCAGCACAATGAGACTGCTGCTCAAAGCCAGCAGGTTGGCATCTGTCAGATGTTTCTGCCCCTTACTAGAAGGTACTCAAGACCCAAGTCTTCTACTTGTTACTTTTCATCAGTTACTTCTCAGCAAAGCAGCTCTTAGCTTATCACTGCTTTGTAGAAATGGGTATTGAAATGGGTTTTTTTTTTTTTTTTTTTTCCCCCCTGGCTCTTGTCCCATGGGGCTTCCATACCAGAACAATGACTTCAGCCCTTGCCTGTAGCCTGGGTGGTCTGTCTGGACCTGTTTTTTCCTGCTGTTGAATCTTGAGTGTCTGCTCTACCGTCCTCTCCCCCTTTGCCATCCTGGGCCTGTTTCAGGTCAGTGGACTCACTGAGCTGTCCAGCAGCCCAGAGGGGCGTGCTTCCTCTCTGCTCCGAAGCACTGTGGGAGAAGGGCAAGGTGGAAAGGTTTGGTTGGTTGGTCAGGTGTTTTGTGTCCAGGGACTGTATGTCTATATAAGTAGTCTCTCTATAGATAAAGTCTCTAAGACTGTTGTCTTAGAAAATGAAAGCAGTGCACCGTCACACTCACTGAATACTACTATGGGCCAGACAGTGTGCTCAATTCTTACCATAACCCTGGAGGTAGGTATCTCCAGATTACAGATGAGAAAACTAAAGCACAAAAAGATTGAGTAATTTGCCTGAGGTCACACAGCTAGTAAAAGGGAGAGCTGGCATCCGAGCTCGCCAGACTGCAGAGCCCAAAGGCCAAGACGTGGGACTAGAGTTAAGATCTGTCACCTGAACGTGCCTCCTCATAGTGGAGCCAGCAGTGGTAGCTCCTGGACTAGATGTGCAGTCCCAGCTTTCATCTTGATAGCTCCAGAATTCCTCCTTTCCTTGCCACTTTCACTGCCATTGCTTCATCCTTTCTCACCCCCTGACTAACCACTTGTCCTCCTTCTGCCTTCTGGTTCATCCACAGTATTGCCACAAATTGATCTTCCCACTGAGCTGACCAGATCTTCTCACTTTGCTGCTTAAATCCCTCTGTGACTCCCCAGCCCCTTGAGGACAAAGTGATACAAAGTTGTCTTTGGCCTGGCTGCTGCCCCCACTCAACCTGGAGCCTGTCAGGGTATGGCACTGTCATACCTGTATATGCACCATCCCTTTGCTCCTAACCCCTTCGTGTCCTCCCTCTGGCCAAGCCAGGCCTGCAGGATTCTGCCGAACCATTGCCCATTCTTCAGAACCCTCCAGGGAACCCTCCCACTTGAGTTTACAGAATTCAGTGCTCATTTCTGCATCCCAGAGGATGTGATGACCAGGTTGCCCATAACTGGGCATTCCTCCACTCCAGCAGACAGAAGTCCTGCTGAGGGAGATCCGTATGTCTGCCCAGCATTAGCAAGGACTGGGGGAGAAGGGCCAGGATCCAGATGTCCCACCTCATCCTAGAGCTCATGTAATCTGGGGAAAGGCAGACATTAAACCAATAGGCTACAAGTAGGTCTTGAATTATAACTATGGTAAGTGCTAAGAGGGAAAATGACGGATTTTAGTGTGTTCAGTGGGAAGGCTCGCCTTGGTCTTGGGTGTTGGGTCCTGGGTGGTCATAGCAAAGGCAGTGCCAGCTTCTCTGAGGAAGTGATCCTTAGGGCAAGGCCTGCAGGATGAGTGTGAGTGCGGTAACGAGCTGAGGCTCACACATTCTAGAGCATGGACACAGCACAAGCAAAGCTTAGGGCCAAGAAGGTGAATAGGTGTGTGCTGGTCAAGGGGAGGCCTGTGTGTCCAGGGCCTTGGTGAGCCGGAGGGTTGGAGGAGGTAGGCCCAGCTCCCTTGGATCTTTTCAGGCCAGAGCCTTGGGAAGCCATTGCTGCGTCCTGAGCAGAGGAGTGACGTGCTCGAATTTACATTCAACAAAGATCACTCTGGCTGTGATGGGAAGAAGGACTGGGAAGAGTTCCTGGTGCAGATGTGTAGGCTCTTGTGCTGCGCCGCTGTGAGAACGTGGTGCTTAGGATCTCCTAAGGAGGTCAGCAGCCAGGGCCTGCTGCCTGGATAGCGGCTGAGGCAGAGGGAGGACCCAAGGGGGCCCCAGCCTGTGCAGGAGCAGCCAGATGGCTAGTCACTCAAAAAATGCATGGATGTTGGCTAGCCAGCTGGCCAGACCCTGATCACCTTCCCTTGGTGCCTTCAACAGTGGTCTGCCCCACAGGGCCCAGGGCAGGGCTTGCCAGTGAGGCAGCCCCTTTGAGAATGCCCTAGTCTTTAGAGCACTGTATACAAATTCCTCTAGTTCATTAGATTTGCGCTGTACCTTGCCTGGGTATAAGAGGTCAGTGTGTAAGGGTTTTATCCATTTTCATCAGTGATTCCAAAGTTGACTTATCAGTGATGATCATTAAAATGCTTGCTGAGATTAAGCCGTAGAAATAGATCTTACGACGCACATGACACACTCACATGTGACCCAGTAGGAATGTGACAGGTTATTGAGTTGTCTAAAGTTTGTTCAGATATACTCCTCAAGGCATCGGTTGCTTTTCATATCTACATCTGGTTGAAATTTGACCTGCTGTGTACAGTCTCATAAATCAAGTCCACGTTTTGTGAGATGTGCGCCCTGTGGGCCTCAGCTCATGGCGAGCACATCCCATGAGGCTCATAATGAATTGTCTGTCTGTAGTTTACTTACCTAGGTAAACAGAATATTAATTTTGATATGTGATTAGAAAATTTTTTTTTGTAGGCTTTACCGCCAGCACCTGTTCAGAATCACACAAATAAGCATCAGGTATTCAATGCATCTCTTCAAGACCATATTTATCCGAGCTGTTTTGGGAATACTCCAGAGTGGAATAGTTCTAAATTTATAAGTCTTTGGGGATCAGAAGTGATGAATGATAAGAACTGGAATCCTGGCACTTTCTTGCCAGATACAATTTCTGGTAAGGAATTTGTTAAAACTTTCTTAAAGTTTTAAAATAACCTGAGTAGATTGACATCTTTGCCGTAGTCTCCCGTGGAAACCCTGGCGCAGCTGTAGCCAGCCGCTGCTCCACCACCTCGGTCTCCAATCCTACTCCATCCTGTCGCATCTGCCACCGGTCAGTCCCACTGCGTGACTGAGCAGAGCAAGACTCTGACTCCGTGGCTCCCTGCCAGACCGGTGAGCCACATGGGCGTGGCCTCTGCACTGCTGAGGGTGTGGTGACCATGATTGGGTGCCCGGCCTTCAATTCTCGAGCAGTGGTGACAATCAGACCTCAGGCCCCCCAGTGCACAGGGGCAGGAAGAAAGTGCCACAGTCGACTTAAATCTGTGACTCACACTCCTTCCTCTGGTTACTGCATTGGCCCCACGTGGCATCTCTCCCCTTTACTAGCTCCTTCCTCCCCAGCTGCCTCAGCCACTGAGGCCCAGCTGTTACTTCAGTCGCAGGGTCAGGGGCACCTGAAAAGGGGCTGGTGCCTACCCCTCATCTCTGTCTTCCTGTGGCCAGAGCTCCTGGCAGCCCCACACCCAGCCCCCGCGTGTGCCAGAACAGCAGGCTACACTTGACATCCTGATCTCTGCTTGGGAAGGATTTCTAGCTGTGTGACCTTGGGCAAGTTGCTTGGCCTCTCTGAGCCTCAGTTTCTTCATCTTCTTAGGATGGGAGTAATAGTATCAACCTCAGAAAGTAGTTTTAAGACTTTACGTAACTTTGGAAAGCACCTAGCACAGGAATTGGCACATAGTAGGTGCTCAATACAGTTTTTTCTTAGATTAAGAACTGGTTGACTTAGCGTCATCCCAGTGGGATCCTGACTTCAGTAGCACCCCCAGTGTCAAATGTTCAGTCATCAGCATGTCTTTTAGGGTTTAGCTAAGTATGATTGCTGTCAGAAGCCATAATTTTCCTGTTCTTCTTTGAAGGGAGTGAAATATTAGGGCCAACACTCTCAGAAACAAGACCAGAAGCCCTTCCACCTCCATCTAGCAATGAAACACCTGCAGTCTCGGATAGTAAAGAGAAAAAGAATGCTGCAAAAAAGAAGTGTTTATACAATTTCCAAGATGCTTTTATGGAAGCAAACAAAGTTGTCATGGCCACCTCATCAGCCACGTCCTCCGTGTCCTGCACAGCTACCACAGTGCAGTCCAGCAACAGCCAGTTCAGAGTGTCATCCAAGAGACCTCCTTCAGTAGGTAAGGCTTGAAGGCTCACTGGCCCTCGGGGTCTGCAGGAAGGCTGGGTTTACTGACTTCTCATCTTTGTAACTGCCTTTTACTTGGCCCAGCCCGAGGCGTACGTGTAATTAACTGTGTAATTAACTGACCAAAAATGCTCACACACACACAGCTGATCCCGAGAGCTGATCCTTAGGACTTTGATTAGAATTGTAGCTATTATGCTAGATTCCTCTGGGGCTTCACTGCACCGTCTTGCTTTTGTCTCTGTTTCTGTTGTTCTTCTGTGATAGGAAGAGGTTATTGCTTGCTTTCTCTTCTCTTTTTCTTTTTCTTTTTCAAGATAGGGTCTTGGCCGGGTGCAGTGGCTCACGCCCGTAATCCCAGCACTTTGGGAGGCCGAGGCGGGCGGATCACGAGGTCAGGAGATCGAGACCATCCTGGCTAACACAGTGAAACCCTGTCTCTACTAAAAATACAAAAAAATTAGCCCGGCGTGGTGGCAGGTGCCTGTAGTCCCAGCTAGTCGGGAGGCTGAGGCAGGAGAATGGCGTGAACCCAGGAGGCGGAGCTTGCAGTGAGCCGAGATCGCGCCACTGCACTCCAGCCTGGGAGACAGAGCGAGACTCCGTCTCAAAAAAAAAAAAAAAAAAAAAAGATAGGGACTCACTCTTGTTCGCCCAGGCTGGAGTGCAGCGGCACAATCTCAGCTCACTACAGCCTCCACTTCTTGTGTTCAAGCGATTCTCCCACCTTGGCCTCCTGAGTAGCTGGGACTACAGGCGCCCACCACCACGCACGGCTAATTTTTGTATTTTTTGGTAGAGACGGGGTTTCACCACGTTGGCCAGGCGAGGAGGTCATTGCTTTCTGAGCATGTGGCAAGATTTCTCAGAAGCTGCTTTAGGAAAATGCTGAGCAGATGTGAGCTGGCTGGAGGAGGCCTCACTAGCCAAAGCTGGGAAAGATTGAGCATTAAAGGGAATGAAGAGGCTGAGTGCAGTAGCTCCCAGCATTTTGGGAGGCTAAAAGGGGAGGATTGCTTAAGCCCAGGAGTTTGAGACTAGCCTGGGCAACATAGTGATGAGACCCCGTCTCTAAAAAAAAAAATTTAAAAAACAGTAAGGAAGTTTGACTGTAGCATACAAATAAAGTCAAGAATCCAAAGGGATTAGGGTGCTCAAACAGAGCAGTAGGGTGGGAAGCTCCTTCTTCTAGAAGCACACCTCCTCCAAATGTGTAAGAAGGATAGGAGTGGCACTTCAGCATGCTGCGCCCCTGGGGTAACAGCTGGTGCAAGTACGCAGCATTCATGGAGGTTAACAAGGGATATCAGTTTGGGGAATGGAGTATTTCTGCTGTTCAAAAGCAGCACCCACAGGGAACTGACAGATTACACAGGAATGGTGGGCGCCTGTGTTAATCCATTCTCACGGTGCTATGAAGAACTACCCAAGACTGGGTAATTTATAAAGGAAAGAGTTTTAATTGACTTTCAGTTCCACATGGCTGGGGAGGCCTCAGGAAACTTACAATCATGGTGGAAGGTACCTCTTCACGGGGGACAGAACGAATACCCAGCGAAGGAGAAGCCCCTTATAAAACCGTCAGATCTCGTGAGAACTCACTCACTAGAACAGCATGGGGGAAGCCCCCACCATGATTCAGTTATTTCCACTGGGTCCCTTCCACTGCACAGGGGGATTATGGGAACTACAATTCAAGATGAAATTTGGATGGGGACACAACCAAACCCTATCACTGGGGACTGACAGATTACAAAGGAATGGTGGATGCCAGACTCTGGAGGAACCTAGCAGACAGTGCCATGCACATCACCATGAAACAGAGAGACACTGGTTGCATCCCATTGCCACAAACTCAGAAGAATCCAACATAATATTTGCAGGATTTGTGCCCAGAACATTTTATCTAAATCTACCAAGACAAGACAAATCCAAATGGGCAGACAGGTGGCCTATTAAAAAAAAATGTTAGGCCAGGTGCGGTGGCTTACGCCTGTAATCCCAGCACTTTGGGGAGGCCAAGGCAGGCGGACCACGAGGTTAGGAGATCGAGACCATCTGGCTAGCACAGTGAAATCTTGGCTCTACTAAAAATACAAAAAAATTAGCTGGGCGTGGTGGCGGGCTTCTGTAGTCCCAGCTCTGTGGGAGGCTGAGGCAGGAGAATGGCGTGAACCTAGGAGGTGGAGCTTGCCGTGAACCAAGATCGAGCCACTGCACTCCAGCCTGGGCGACAAATCGAGACTCCGTCTCAAAAAAAAAGTTAGTCTTGTGAAAAGAGAAAAGGGTTGGAAGAGGCTGGGTTGATGGGAAAGCTATAATGGACATGTGAAGGAAATTGGAAAATTGAATATGGGTTGTACCTTAGATGAGAGTATCTTGTCAGTGTTGTGTTTT